AACTAAAATACGGTATGAAAAGGTTTATTATCCCAGTTTTAGCGATGCAACTTGAAAGTAAATGATTCAATTTTATTAACACGGGTAAAACACCAGTAGATTTACTGGTGATGAAACTCCTAGTTTTTAACCCCTTTCACACACACACACAAAGTGAGAATGACAACATCTGTGTTGTGACTTCCACACCAAGCCAGCGAGCGATTCGCAGTAGGTTTGACGCGCGTTGCTACTCTAATGTGCAACCGGAATACATAGACGCTGAAAGTAAAGTTCTGAAAAGTCAACTCAGAAACATTTCTCCCACTCGTTGTCATCGGGAACCAATCCAACCGTTTTTATTCCTCTTTATAGAATTTACTTTACAGTATGAAACGATATAATATTAGTTTATTAAATATAATGAGAGAAAGATTTGTAAATAAATCAAAGTTTTCAAAAACAAGTTAAACATTTTTGATCAAAAGAGCTGGTGGTCAAAAGAACAAAATATCGAGGATTCGACAGAATAGAAGAAATCTCGAGAAGTAGATATATTTGCTGTGATAATCTCTGATCAAAACATGTATTTAATCTTACGAATATTTTCTTTATTTTTATTCAATCTCTTTGAGCTGTATGAATTTTACTTGGAAATTTTCGGGAAGAAAGAGCCTGGCTTTCTCACAATGAGTAGGCACGTGTTTTAACATAAGTATTTTACTATTTTTGTTTTAATGTAAATAAAAATGATTTTTTATTGAACTTGTATTTTGTTGATAATGTGTTCTAGTTCTGAAACTTTTCCAATCTGGAACTAAAAAGGAATATTATGCAGTTGCACTTCTTATTCTTTGATCTTTTTTTTTTTTTTTTTTTTTTTTTTTTGTATTTATAATTTTATTCTTATGTCTAAGATTTTTTTTCTCGTTTGTAATGATGACATTATTTTTGCGAAGTATGTTTAAATATTTAGAAACTAATTAATTAATCGTTAGACGTTATTTCTACTTACTAGAAGACTACTACTTACCTAGAAGCAACTTGTGATATTTTATAAAATTTTAATTTGATTTAATGTTCTATTTAGTTGTATCTTTTTGAAAATATTACAGTATTGACTGAAAACATATTGAATCCCTCGCGAAACATTGCTTCGATCCGATAATAAGAGAATTATGAAGTATTTTTTTTTTCCTCTTTTGCTAAAATTTCGTTTTTTCAATTTATAAAATGGAGATTTCCTGTAACTGTTCAATCCTCCTTTGGCGTGGTGTGAAATGTAGAAAAACGGAGTGTTAACTCAGGAGTCTTTGTCAATAGTTGAGGTCCGACGCTAATCGCCTTCAGATAGTTTCTAAGTGCTCTACGGGGAAAAAATTTATTAGAAATTAAACATTTTAGTGTAAGGACAATGAAGTATTTTTTCGAGTTTCATCCAATGATGAACTTTTAGATTCCTGTTAGCTTTCCGCGGCGCTTCATGTTCTTCCCCTTGGGACTGCTCTGTCGGAGCGTCAGTTGGATGCACACCCTACCGCTCTGTGCAATTTATTTTTGTCCTACTTTTAAATAAAAGCGTTTGCTGCATTTACAATACAGCTTGATTTCGTAGTTTAGGCTCCAATTTCATAATATCCGTGGGCAGTAATAACACTCAGCGTTCTCTTGAGCTCTTTGAGAGTAGAATATATTTTAGCCACATTTCTCCCCAAAACCGCAGCATTTTCTGCACACTGATTAGGGTTGGGAAAAAATAAATTCAATAGAAGTTATTTTTTCCCAACTCTACCTCCCTCTTCCCCTATTGGGCTTTTGATGCCTTAATCGGGAAAGAAAATAATACCTAGAATCGTAAGAGATCTGGGGTTAAACTTAAGGTAAAATCTTGACCTTGCCATTGAAATCTATGTGTCAACAATGTCATGCAATCTTTCTCGGAGGACAATGGTCGCCAAACCCCGAGAAGCGAACAGGTTCCGGTCCTTGGATCAAATCGTACTGGGTCGTCCAAGGAACATTAAATTATTTTCATTTTATTCACTGTGGTGTACATATCTCAGATTTGTGCGACTTTCCATGGAAATCATTTTATATTCCAAGTTAAATCACTTTAGACTTATTTTTTGGTGTAACTGTATTTTATTCAAAAGGCATATTTAAATACAATTAAATTCAAATTATTAAATCAACACTATCTAACTTATAAACAATCAACTCCCCTCCCTCCCCCTCAGTGGGCCCCGGTAAACTTGTCAAATGTTGACCAGTCCACTACGATGAAAAGGCAGTGAAGCTCTGTTATAGAGCACAACAGCCAAGAATTTAGTCTGTGCTCAGAAAATCGATTCATACCGCTCTATTTTTCATTAGATGAACATTTACGGTTCTCTAGATTCAGACTTCAACAAGGATCTGGAACTTCAGGAATAGTTCTACGCGATAAAATTATTTCATATTTAGCCAACGAAAGCATAATAAGCTGCGGGGGGAATTTTCCTTAATGAATGGACAGTAGCATTCAATGAACAAACTATAAGTCATTAGATTTAAAATATTATTAATTTTGTTTACACATATAATTCAAAAAAATTCCTCACGCTGTTTCTTATTTTTTAAATTATACTTCTTTTGGGGCGTTAGAGAAATAGGATGAGGGTAAATTTTTACAATGCGCGCGCACCCCGTCACGGATGCGAAAATCCTTTGTCTAGAAATATACAGAACGGGACAAATCATTCCCACCTTTGAAATTCTCAGAAAAATATTTCTCTTCACTTCCCTGAAAATGGGGGCACCCGGGTTTGAATCAGGGACCTCCCGATCTGCAGTCTAATGCTCTACCACTGAGCTATACACCCCGTGTCAGAGAGCCTTTGCTTTGCGTTCCGTATGAACGGATACGAAAATGCTTTGTCTAGAAATATACAGAACGGGACATATGATTGCCGCCTTCAAAATTCTCAGAACAATATTTCTCTTCACTTCCCCGAAGAAGACTCCCGGGATTGAACCGGGAACCAATCGATCTGCAGTCGAATGCTCTACCACTGAGCTTTACCCCCGCGTCAGCGAACCTTTGCTTTGCGTTCCGTAGGAATGCTTTGTCTAGAAATATACAGAACGGGAAAGATCATTCCAGCCTTCGACCCCCTCCCCATATTATTGGTCCTATTGTCCCTGTGCGGGGGTGTTTAAATTTATTTAAATCGTGATTATCTCAGGTTTGGCTGGGCCGATTGACTGAAGGTTAGTATCGTTCAACTCTGCTCGTGACCGCCTTTCGTCCTTGGCCCAGCTTGCCCTGCTAAAGATTTTTAGAAAGATTTTAATCTTGTTACGCCAAAGAAGTATAACTTCTTACGTGCGTACACAAGTACACACACACTTTTTTTAAGTTAAAAATTTATTTGTCTCTGCAATTAATTAAATTTTATAATGATTTAGAACAAACAAAAAATTCTTGTTACTTATCATCACAAACTTTTATGACATTTTTTCACCCAATGGATAAAAATATGTTTACTGAGGATTCTAATCTAAAAACTATGAATTATTCTACGTTTATATGAGAACAAACATGTTACACGCGCCTGCATTGCATTAAGTTTGCATTTTATTTCAGATTTCTTTTTGAAAATTCAACTGTTGCTGATGTGTAATCTAATAATTTCCTTAGTATAATTTGATATTTTCCACCGGTTACTGAAGAAGTCGGGCAAGATTCACAAGACCATTGAATCTTAAAAAGTCATAAATATCTTTCCAAAGGGTCCATACGTTTCAAGATATGCTTGGCGGAAGCCTGGTGAACCATAAATCTGCCACACGCAGCGAAGATTTTGAGAACGAGTTCTTGATGTAACCACGGGAAAGACTGCAATGGGGGACCCTCTATCACACTTGAGGGCTAGAGAAGACAGGGTCTAATACCAAGGCCATCTAGAAAAGGACTAGGCCGTGACAGCATTTTGATGACGTCACGAAAGGAGGGAAAGCTTTTCTACGCGCATTCGCTCTGTGAGGAATATAAAGCTTTGAACATTTATTTCTTTTCATGCCATAGGCTAAAATTTCCGCATTTATATTGATTATTTTTTTTAATTCTTACTGAGAATATTTTCTGATGAAAGTTATGCATTAATACGCTAGAATGATGCATAATATTTTTCCGGAAAAAGGGACAAAATCACTCATGAAAGGCTCCTAACAGTATAAGAAAAGTCTAAGAAAAAACTGGCTCACTGTAAAATAATTTCAATCAGATAAAATAAAAAAATAACAAACATTTACTTGCAAAGAAAATTTGAAAAGTAGAGCATTAGAGGCATATTAATAAAAAAATCATGTGAATTTAGAAACATTTTGCTGGAGTTCCTTTTTCCTGTGAAATGACATTTTTTATGCTCATAGAATCAATGAATCATAACAAAAGAAAGAATTATAAAAAAAATGCATGCAAAAATATATTCAAATATAGAAATGACAAACAGTTTTAGACACCATAGTAATATTATATAGTAAAAATAGATTCTAGATTATACGTTAAAAATATTCAATTTTCATTCATTCAATATTCAAAAATTTTAAAATAATTTCAATCCAATAAAATAAAAAAGAAAATAGGAAAAGGATACTCTTCTATTGAAATATCATCTGGTTTATTTCTAATGTTTAATATTTCGTTGAAATCTGCAATATCTACTTTAACATGAAATATCTCACCTGAATGATTTGAAATTAAATTTTTTAGTGAGATAGTACCATATTTATCTGAGTGCAAAGTTAACACACTTTTAATGCGCAACTTTTTTTCAGCTTGCAAAATTTCCTGCACAGTGACATGATAATTTGCTCCAGACATTTGTCTGTATTGCCCAAATCTGACTTCTAAATTATCAGTTCGGAACTTTCCAGTTAAAACATATTTGAAATTCTGCTCAGTCAAAAGATACTTTATTAGTTCTGGGATGGTATTTACCGTATTCCTCAAAGCAAAAAATGTTTCCTCGCTTAAACAGCCTTCTCGTTTATTTTGTTTTAAATTTTTCCAGCAGTCCAGCCACTGAACAAATTTTGAAAAAAAAGTGAATCTATCATCATCCATTGATGAAAAAGGAACACTGATTTTCAATTTAAGATTTTGACCCTTATTTGGACTTTTAATATTCATTATTTGCCAGAAATCTAAAATATGTTTGATGAATATTGCAGTGTCCCTAAACATTTCTGGGTAGCCTAATTTATCTTTTAATATATTAAGTGCAGTCACATTGCTTTCTTCAAAAATTTTTAAAACTAATTTAACATTTTGTTTCTCAAAATTTGTTGGTTTTAAAGCTTTTAAACATAATTTAGGAGCTAATTTAACAATAATGTTCATTTCTTCGTTATAAATTTTAAATAATGATGAAAAAGATGCTTTTCGGATTTGAGAAAATTCTGAAGGATCAGGATACATTAAAGAAGAATCAGCATCTTTCTGATTTAACCAATTATTTCGTATAGATTTGATAAGATGTACTGAATCAAAAATACGATGTAATTTTTTTGCATTATTAGCTGGATTCTGAATAACACTCTTTATGTTACCATTACACAATTTAGAAAAACAATTTCTATTTACTCTGTTATTATCACTTACAATGCAAACAACTGAAAAACCTACTTTTTCCATTAATGACAAAATTTCTAAAGTCATAGAATGCAAGTCTTCAGCATTCATGTTCTTTACAGGATTCAATGATACTATTTCTTTATTTTTACTCAATAAAGAAGAGTATAAAAAACATTGAATCGTAGTAGCTGCTTCTCCTTTCTCAGTAAATCCAATTATTTTATTACATTTATATGTAATCGCTGATTTGATGAAAATTTCATCAATTTGTAATATTACCTGTTTCTCATGGTCTTTCAGTTCTTTACACCTACCTCGTAGATAATTTTCATTAGCCAGAGTTGACAAACCTGGAGTAACATTTAATCCAGATGTAACTCTCTGTAATTGTCTCACACTTGGAAGAATTATATTCCCCTTATCTCTTACATAGGAATAACATGTGGTAGATTTAATGTACATGCAGAAAGAAAAAACCATTAAATTACTGCTATACTTACGGCTATGTTTATTCAAATTTAATAATTTCATTTGCTCTAAAATAAAATTTGCTGTCTCGAAATTTTCAGCATTACAGTTTTCAATATACTTTTCCCATGATTGAATAGCCATAACATGATGAGGAACAGAATTAATGGAAGAGATTTCTTCAAAGACATTTACTGTATTAAGAATATTTAACAATTCGCTGAAATATGTTAACCTAGGAGGATTATTAAGAATTTTTCCAACAGAAGGTAT